GTTACAAAGACACTTTTGCCCGTTGGCTGCGTGAATCCCTGTACCTTAATGCCCAGCCTGTTGATACTCTTTACGAAGATCAGGGTGAATCGGATAGTCCGGATTAACTACGCTTGCGAAAAATTCTCATCCTCTCCCACATAGCGATTGGAGTGCTGTGGGTCATTGTAAGGAAGAAAAACCAGCTTATCGCCTTTTTGAAAGGCAGGAATATCTCTTAAGATCGGGAAGGGGTCTTCTTCATCATCCAGCCGGAAAAGAGGGATCAGTCGTCCTTTTTGTTTTTTGGTGATATCCTCGTACGTTTCTTCACTGGACACGTCATCAATAGTAGGTTTACCCTGCTGTCTGATATATTGTGCCAGGGTAAGGTAGTCTACCTTTCCTTCAAAAAGTATGTCTTTATCCAGTTTAAGATCTTTGAGTTCCAGTTCATTTTTACTGGCCAGGCGAAACACATGATCGTCACCAAATTCATTTTCAAACCACTTGCAGGCCAAAGAGTTGATCTCTGTATTGGGAGTTAGAGCCATTAATCTGCCGATGGTGGTCAGGTCCAGCTCTTCAAAAATACGATCACCAACAATATTGCCTTCAAATACTTCAAAACCCTGCCTGCGTGCCTCTTTGATGTTGGCTGCAGAAATGTCAACCATTATAACCGGAATATCGCATTCACGGATGATGTCCGCTATAAAGCGGGCTACCTCATTTGCACCGGCAATAAGAAAGCCCTTGGGCTCTTCCCGTTCCACCTTCAGTATTTTGGCCAGCGGTTTGGCTGTGGCTCCCTGCAAGACTACCGTACCAACAATTACCAAAAAGGTAAGAGGTAGAATAAGTTCGGCCTGTTCAGAAATAGCATCGTTCGGGGCGCTGCTAATTAGTTGTAGTGAAAAGAGTGAAGCTACAGCTGCAGCTACAATTCCTTTAGGGCCTACCCAAGACATAAACACTTTTTCGCGCCAGCTGAATTTCTTGTTGATGGTACTGAGAAATACACCCAATGGACGAATAAGCAGGATGACGATAAGAAAGAGAAAAATACTTTCCCAACCCAGTTTTTGAATCTGCTCCATATTGATGCGGCTGGAGAGCAAAATAAACAGAACAGAGATGAGTATCAGTGAGATATCCTCTTTAAAGGATAATATTTTTTTGAAATCATTCACCTTGATATTAGCCAGAATAATACCCATAAAAGTAGCTGCCATTAAACCCGCTTCAGGTTGAATGAGCTCTGAAAAAGTAAATGCAAAGATCACCAGGCCAAGGGTGAATACATTGCGTAAAAATTCCGGAACCCGGTTTTTCAGTAATACATAACGCAGAAAAAAGGCAGCTAAAGCACCTACAAATACCCCAGAGGCTACGGTAAGGAAAAATTCTTTGAGTATTTCAAGTGTGAACTCCTGTCCGTGCCCGCCTCCTGATTGTATGAACTCATAGACCAATACGGCTATTAAAGCACCCAGGGGATCAATGAGAATACCTTCCCATTTTAAAACAGTATTCACCCGCTCATTAGGCCGAACGTTTCGGAGTATGGGCATTACTACGGTGGGACCAGACACAATGATCAAGGCTCCGAAAAGAAAAGCTAAACTGTAATTTAAGCCCAGCAGGTAATGCGCAGCCAAGCCACCACCAATCAAGGTGATAATCGGACCAAAGATCAAAAGGTTACGCACTGTGCCTACACGGTAGCGAATCTCGGATAGTTTAAGAGTAAGCCCACCTTCAAAAAGGATAACGCCCACTGAGATAGACACAAACGAAAAAAGAAAATCCCCGGAAAAAATGGTGTCACCGTCCAGTAATTTATCTCCATAAGGTGTTAAATAGGTGGAAAGGGGTCCAACCGCTAAACCGATTATAATAAGGGGCAGGATAGCCGGGATTTTAATTTTCCAGGCCAGCCATTGCGCTAACACGCTTAATACAAGGATACTGGCTAACTCGATCATACTTCAAAAATTCAACGCAAAAGATAAGGTATAGTTACTAAAGAATAGCGCATATAACCACCGGTCTGTAGGTGCTTGTTCACAAAGCTTTTGAATAATTACGGATGAGACGGTGTATCTCTCAGAATCTGACCGGTGTTTTGTGCATACTGGTCATAGCATTTGGATTTACCGGGGTGTAATATCAAGGTATTTTTCATTTATGTGTAAGTATTTTCCAAACTCCGATAGCTAGTGCAGCACCAACAAATGGCCCGGAGAGGTAGATGTGAAAATAAGAGAAATCCCCCAGCACCACATCTGGTCCAAAAGAACGGGCGGGGTTCATTGAAGCTCCGGTAAGAGGTCCGCCCATAGCGGCTTCCATAAAAACCACCAGCCCAATAGCCAGCCCGGCCATCACCCCTTTTTCTTTAGACCCCGAGCTTACGAAAATGATGACCAGCATCAGGAAGAAAGTAAATATACCTTCCAGAATTAAAGCCGGCCAAGGCTCGCCTAAAGGCCGGGTTTCGCCCATAGATGTGGTTTCCGGCAGGAGGAAGGCCAAGGTATAGCTGGCCAATACAGCACCCAGCAATTGCGCCAGCAGGTAGGCCGGTACTTTACCCCAACTAAAGCGTCCGCTTAAAGCAAAGGCTATACTCACGGCCGGGTTAATATGCGCCCCGGAAACTTCTCCCAGACCGTAGATTATTGCAGAGACCACCGCTCCGAATACAGCGGCTATACCTAATGTGCCTAAAGCCCCTCCGCTTATATGATCAACCATTACTGCACCGGTCCCAAAAAAAACCAGGGCAAATGTGCCGAGCAGTTCTGCGGTGAAAGTTTTTTTATTAAAAACCATCAACAGCAAGTTGAATTGGGTCCGCAGCAGATCGCTAAACTTTCGGAAAGCCGAAGCTTCTCCTGCTGATTTTTGGTGGCTTTCGGCTTTTGTATGATAAGCTGTTTACCATATGGTTTTATGCCGTATAGATTCCGGGATGAACTGAAGCCCTCTTCTAAGAAGTCTGCATGGAGTGATATGGGCATGTGGAGGGGTGTACTCATACTATTTAATCATTGCAATATTACGATGAAGATTGAAAAGACCAAATCAGTTTTGAACTTTTTAGGACTAAAAGTTTTAAGCTTGCATTAAAATAGTATCTGAATATGGCTTTTTACCTGTAAATCTGAATCAAATGAAAGTATACACCCGTAAAGGTGATACCGGGGAAACGTCTCTTATAGGCGGCACCCGGGTTAAAAAATATCATGTACGTATTGAGGCGTATGGAACGGTGGATGAGCTAAACAGTTTTATTGGTTTGATCCGTGACTCGGCTAAAACCTCAGATCAGGATGCAGTGCTGGAGGATATTCAAAACCGGCTTTTTACCGTTGGGTCGGAGTTAGCCAGTGATCCTGAAACTTCACGCATGAAAGTTCCGCAATTACAAGCTTCTGATATTGAGGCTTTGGAGAAAGCAATTGATACTATGGATGAACAATTAGAACCCTTAAAGAATTTCATATTGCCCGGAGGAGATTTGGCTGCGTCCTATTGTCATGTAGGGCGATGTGTATGCCGCAGGGCAGAACGCAGGGTAATTGAGCTAAATGAAGGTGCTGAGGTAGATCCCCGTATAATAGAATACCTCAACCGTTTAAGCGATTATCTTTTTGTGCTGGCCCGTTATTATACACGCCTACACGAGGGTAAGGAAACACTTTGGAAAACAAGACCTTAAGCAATTTGTAATTTTTTTTGTACACTGATTGCATAAGACTTGTAAAAAATTACTTTTGCAAAAATTTAATTAAGAGGCAGATATGTATTGGACATTAGAGTTGGCAAGTTACCTGAGTGATGCTCCCTGGCCCGCAACCAAGGATGAGCTTATTGATTATGCCATTCGTACCGGTGCACCTTTGGAGGTGGTGGAAAATCTCCAGGCCATTGAAGATGATGAAGATGAGGCCTATGAAACCATTCAGGAAATTTGGCCGGATTACCCCTCGGAAGAGGACTTTCTCTGGAATGAGGATGAATATTAACGGAATCTTTTTAAAAGATAAATGAAAACCCCTGTGCTTTGACAAGGGGTTTTTTGCTTTTGGTAAGTTGGAAACAGCTACATTTTCATGCTTTGCATAAATGATGCATTACAAATGCCGGAAAGGGAGAAAACACCAGGTAGATCATTTCGCTAAAATTCTCGATATAGAGAAAATTAGTTTAAAGACCACTTGATCTTGATGCTCATAAATTTTATGAGTTTAGCCATCCTATTCTTCTAAAACACATACAATCGTAACCTCCACCTCATTTCCCATCATAAACGTATTGGTGTCTTCACCAATTTTGTAATCCAGGCGTTTTAAAACTAAAGTGCCGGTTATAGTTTGACCGGAATAGGTAAAAGGAATGGCTACATTTTGAATAACCCCATGCATTTGCAGGTTGCCTTTGGCTAAAAACCCATTGGAAGTTTGTACAATTCCGGAAGATTTAAAGCAAATTTCAGGGTAATGCTCCGCATCAAAATAATCAGCACTGCGCAAGTGATCATCACGTTTTTCATTATCCGTATCAACGGAAGCAGTGGGTAAGCAAATATCAATTGTTCCTTTGGCCGGGATGTCTTTGGTAAATTTCACGGTACCTCTCATACCGCTAAAGGAGCCTTCCACCGTATTTACTCCAAAATTACTTATACTAAAGGTGGCTTTGGAGCTGGCGGTTGGCACCAGCTGGGCAGACGCATTGCCTAAAAAAGCAGTCGCCATAAGGATGATTAGTCTTTTCATGTAGTTGCGTTTAATGCACCAAATGTAAAGCAGAAGACCATAACATAAGACTATTAAGGTAACCGCCCTTTTGTCATTTTTTTGTAATAAGGCATAGTTTTGTGGCACCTATCAGCCCATAAAGATTAGCTAACTTTGCTATCCTTTTGAAAATAGAAGAATACACCCGTATATAATATGATTACCGATTTTTTACAAAAATTCTTTGGCAATAAAAGCGATCGCGACCTTAAGGAGATCAAACCTTTTGTGGAGAAAGTGAAAGCTGTTTACGATTCTGTTGCGGCCCTGGATCACGATGGGCTTCGTGCTAAGACACAGGAATTCCGCCAGCGCATTACAGACCATATAGCAGAGAACACACAACGCATTGCGGAGATTAAGTCTCAGCTGGAAACAGAAGAAGACATTGACGCAAAGGAAGCTCTGTATGAGGAAATGGACAAGCTGGAAGAAGATTCCATTGCTAAAACAGAAGACCTCCTCAATGAAATTTTACCTGAAGCCTTCGCGGTAGTTAAGGAAACCGCCCGCAGATTTTCAGAAAATGAAACTCTGGAAGTACAGGCTACTGATTTTGACCGATCCCTGGCACCCAAACTGGATGCTGTAAGCGTGGAAGGTGATAAAGCCATCTGGAAAAACCGTTGGAAGGCCGCAGGAAGTGAGATTATTTGGAACATGGTACATTATGATGTTCAGCTTATTGGTGGGGTGGTTCTTCATAAAGGAAATATTGCGGAGATGGCAACGGGTGAGGGTAAAACCCTGGTTGCTACCTTGCCTGTATACCTCAATGCACTACCCGGAAAAGGGGTGCACCTGGTAACCGTAAACGACTACCTGGCTCGCAGGGATGCCGAATGGATGGGGCCACTCTTTCAGTTCCACGGACTTTCAATTGATTGTATTGACCGCCATAAACCAAATTCGGAAGAAAGAAGGCAAGCGTACCTGGCCGATATCACGTACGGTACCAACAATGAATTTGGCTTTGACTACCTGCGTGACAATATGGCTCGCAGCCCTGAAGATCTGGTACAGCGAAAGCACAACTATGCTATTGTGGATGAGGTAGATTCGGTATTGATTGACGATGCCCGGACCCCCCTTATTATCTCAGGGCCTACCCCTAAAGGAGACCGTCATGAGTTTAATGAGCTTAAGCCTCATGTAATGAAATTGGTGGATGCACAGCGTTCATTGGTAACCAAAGAGCTTAAGGAAGCCAAAGAGCTGATTAAAAGTGGAGACACTAAAACCGGAGGCGAAAAATTGCTCCGTGCACACCGCGGTTTACCCAAAACCAAAACCATTATAAAATTCCTGAGTGAAGATGGCATGAAGACACTCCTGCAGAAAACGGAAAATAAATTCATGCAGGATCAAATGAAAGAGATGCACATTATTGACGATGATCTCTACTTCACGATTGATGAAAAACAAAATCAGATAGACCTTACCGAAAAAGGAATTGATCTGCTTTCCGAAGGAACACAAAACCGTGACTTTTTTGTAATGCCCGATATGGGTGCTCTCATTGCGGAGTTGGATAACTCTGGGCTTGAAGGCAAAGAGAAAGCCGAGGAACGTGAAGAAATGATGCGTGATTTCAGCATTAAGTCTGAACGCATTCATACCATGAACCAATTACTTAAAGCGTATGCTCTTTTTGAGAAAGACGTAGAGTATGTGGTAATGGAAAATAAAGTGAAGATCGTAGATGAGCAAACCGGTCGTATTATGGAAGGCCGCAGATACTCGGATGGTCTGCATCAGGCTATAGAAGCGAAGGAAAATGTAAAGATCGAGGCGGCCACCCAAACATATGCTACGGTTACTTTGCAAAATTATTTCCGGATGTACAATAAGCTTTCCGGTATGACGGGTACGGCTGAAACGGAAGCTGGCGAGTTCTGGGATATCTATGAACTGGAAGTAACCGTAATCCCTACCAACCGTCCTATCGCCAGAGACGATCGTCAGGATTTGGTGTATAAAACCAAACGTGAAAAATACAATGCCGTAATTGAAGAAGTGACCCAGCTTGTAGAACAAGGTCGTCCGGTGCTGGTAGGTACTACTTCAGTAGAGATATCGGAGCTGTTGAGCCGTGCATTGAAACTCAGAAAGATCAGGCACAACGTACTGAACGCAAAACTCCACCAAAAAGAGGCAGAGATAGTAGCCGAGGCCGGCCAGCCCGGAACCGTAACTATTGCCACCAACATGGCCGGTAGGGGTACGGATATTAAGCTGACCAATGAAAGTAAAGAAGCCGGTGGTTTATCTATTATAGGTACCGAGCGTCATGATTCACGAAGGGTAGACCGCCAGTTACGTGGTCGGGCCGGTCGTCAGGGAGATCCGGGTAGTTCACAGTTCTTTGTGTCACTGGAAGATAACCTGATGCGCCTTTTTGGTTCAGAGCGTATAGCCAAGCTTATGGACCGTATGGGTCTTAAAGAAGGTGAAGTTATACAGCACTCTATGGTTTCTAAATCCATTGAACGGGCACAGAAAAAAGTAGAGGAAAATAACTTTGGTATCCGTAAGCGACTTCTGGAATATGATGACGTGATGAACTCTCAGCGTGAGGTAATATACAAACGCAGGCGTCACGCCCTTTATGGAGAACGTTTGCAGGTAGATATAGCTAATATGTTCTATGATACCTGTGAAAGCATTGCTAACGAGCATTTGGCAAATAAAGACTTTGGAGCATTTCAATTGGAACTGGCCCGGGTATTTACCATGGAGTCGCCCTTTACAGAAGAAGCGTTTATGAAGGCCGGCCAACAGGAACTGGTCAACCAATTATACGATGTTGTACTGAAGGCGTATGGAGAAAAGAACCTGCGTATTGCTGAAATGGCTAAACCAGTCATCAAAAACGTTTTTGAAAATCAGTCGGATAAGTTTGAAAATATTGTAGTTCCCTTTACGGATGGCAACAAAGGTATCCAGGTAGTAACCAATCTTAAAAAGGCCCATGATTCTAATTGTCGCCAGCTGATCCGTGATTTTGAAAAGAACATAGTACTGGCCATCATTGATGACAGCTGGAAAGAACACTTACGGGATATGGATGACCTGCGTCAAAGTGTGCAAGGTGCTGTATATGAGCAGAAAGATCCTTTACTGATCTATAAGTTTGAAGCGTTTGAACTGTTCCAGGTTATGCGCGACAAGAGTAACCGGGAGGTGGTTTCTTTCCTTTTCAAAGGGCAGTTGCCTAATCAGGAGAGCGGACAGGTGCAAAAAGCCCAGGCCCCAAGGCGCAGTAATTATGATAATCTTCAAACCAGTCATCCTGAGCTTGCGGCCAGCGGAGGAGGAGGTCATAGTAATGGAAAACAGCCGCAGGCAACACCTAAGGCTCAGCCTGTGGTTAAAGATAAGTCCAAGGCTTACGGCAGGAACGATGTGGTAACCATTCAAAACCTTACCACAGGGGAGAAAAAGGAGATGAAGTATAAGAAGGCCCAACCCATGGTAGAAGATCAGGGATGGATAGTTGTAGAATAAACAAAAGAAGCAGCCATATTGTATTAAGAGGATACACCTAAAAAGAATCCATTTAATATGAAGAGATTAATTATAGTAGCACTAATAGGTGCTTCACTTACCACTTTCACCTCGTGTAAGTCAGGAGTTACATTAAAACAGGTGCGTACCCAGGAAGATAAGGCTGATGCATCACTTAAAGATGCGCATGAGGAGATGCTTGCTTTGGCCAAAATTAAAGAGCAATATTCAGAAGACTCCAAGGAAAAACGTCTCAATGATCTGAAAGACCGGGTTGATAAGATCCAGGATGATATCGATAAGCTGGAAGACGTTTCAGGAAATGACAACTCGGCCGTAGAGGGTAATGTGAAAACAGCCATTAGTTCCCTGAAAAACGATAAGGCTGACGTAGAAAAGCAAATTGCCGCGGTTGAAAAACTGGATAAGGAAAACTGGTCTTCTGCTATTGAGCAAATCAATACTTCTGTAAAACATCTGGAAGAAGAACTAGCTAAGATTACCGCTAATTTACCAGAAGAAGAATAAAAAATCTGTTAATATCAAATATAGAAAAGGAGGCTGAAGCCTCCTTTTTTATGCTTTGTTCCAAAGGTTTGTTACCACTGGCATGGCCCCCTTAACCTTCCCTTCACGTAATATCAGAAAAGGAATCACTTTTCTTTTTTGTAAATTTAAACTTCAGGCAACCTTTATGTTGTACCTCAGTCTATTAATTTAATAAACACCTTCTGCAGCTTGAACTCCAAACCCGAACATATCATCAATATTGAAGATATAGGGGCATTTCTACAGCCTAAGGAGTTTCTTTTGAATAATTCTGAACACGAACTCGTAGCCGCTTGCAAAGCCGGGCAAAAAATTGCCCAGCGGAGAGTGTATGAATTATTTGCCGGAAAAATGCTTAACGTATGCAGGCGTTATGCCAGGGATGTGGAACAGGCACGTGATTTCATGCACGATGGGTTTATCAAGGTCTTTTTGAACATTGAAAAATTCAGAGAACAATCCTCTCTTGAAACATGGATTACCCGCATTATGATCAATAATAGCATTAGTGCTATAAAGAAAGAGGTGCGTAAGGGTATTAAGGTGAGTATGGATGATGTTCAGGTTCGGGATACGGACGTGAAAGATTTTGAATTAATTGAGAAACAACCTATCACTGCAAAGCAAGTCTTTGAAAAACTGAACGAGTTACCCCTGGGCTATCGTACGGTTTTGAGCTTGTATGTTTTAGATGGGTACACACATAGAGAGATTGGCGATAAGCTGGGAATTTCGGAAGGAACCAGTAAAAGCCAGTTGGCAAAAGCCAAACGGCTGCTTGCCAAAATTTTGACGGAAGCTTATTTATAAAATGCAACGAAAAGGGAACATAGAAAATTTTCTCAAAAAACGGCTGGATCATCTGGAGAACCATTTTCAGGATGACTGGTCTGTATTTGAACAAAAGCTTGAGAAGGCGCTCTATCTTCAACGTCTGCGCAGGATGGTTTGGATGGGAGCTTTCAGCCTTATGCTACTGGGTGTTTTTGTGGGAGTAAATATGTACCAGATATGGGGGGGCGACCTGTATGAGCCACGTACCCGGGATGTGTATTTTAATGAAGCGCAGAAAGAAGATAATTCCATTGCAACACAAAAAGTAATTTCAGCCAATCATCTGGCAAGTGAATCTGAAAAAGGCAAAAAAGATCAAACGGGTTCAGGTTTGTTTCCACCCACAAAATCAAATGTCACACAACAGGTTTTTGGTTCTGAAACAAGTGGGAAAAGCCAAAGACCAAACTCCAAAGGCACCGTCTCTTTACTATCAACGGATGCTGAAAATAAAATTGTACCCCGTGCAAAAACCAGCTATCCACCAGAAGCATCTGACCAAACTAACGCAGGGGTCATTGCGGGTAAAACTTCTGAAGCTAATTCAGGCAAGGGAGCGATGGTAATGACTGGTAATAATGCCGGACAATCTGCTGAAGTTCCGGATATCTCAAATTTGAAAAAGAAGATTGCTGAAGAGATAAAGCTGGATAGGAAAGAGCCGTTACTGATCAGTAGCATAGAAATGCCAAAAGGCGGGTTGATCCAGGAAGTTACTCAACCACAACTGCGCTACAACACAGGTCAAACTGAGGGAAGCACTGCTTTTCTGAACCCGGATATGAACTTAAGGTCTCCTATTGAAGCTGTAAATATATCTGGCAGTCACGGACCTTATGTGAGTCCCTTGCAGCCACAAAACCCGTGGAGTTATTCGCTTAATGTATACCCCAACTTCACTTTTCGGAAGTTTCGTGCAGATGAAGATAAATTTGATCAGTTGCATCGTGATTTCGTTGACGCTGTACAAGCCGCAGAAAGCGGAGGCTTTAGCCTGAATATTGGTTTTGAAGTAAGTAGACGCATAGGCGAAATAACCTATGTAAACACGGGTGTAGAGTACATCAGCTATAAAACGGATGTAGCGTATAATTTTTCTAATTTCCGGGAAGCCAATATCAACGAGGCTGGTCGGATCATTGGCTATACATTTAAGGATGAAACGGAGCTTATCAGTTTTTCAGACCGGAACATATATCATTATCTGAATTTCCCGCTGAGCTTTTCATACCAGCCCTGGGCCAGTGACCATGTACGCCTTAATGTAGAGCTGGGAGCAAGTTTCTTATACTTTGTAACGGCCCGGGGGCAAACTCTTAATTATAAAACGCTTGAAGTTATTGACCTTTCTGAAAGGGAATACAAAAATTACATTGGCTCGCTGTGCTTTAAGGTAGGTGCAAACTATTACGTATCGCCTCGCATCAACATCGGTTTTGAGCCTACTATTATGTATTTCACCAACACCATCTACACGGATGATTATCCCTTCTACGTAATCCCTTACTCCGTAGGTTTAAACCTCAACCTGCAGGTCAAGCTGAACTAAGTCATTTGTCAGCTGTCGCACAATTTCTGATTTACGAGGTTAATACTTTAGACGAGTTATTTCGTATATAAAGGAAACCAAATAACAAAAACAGTATGAAAAAGATAATATACCTGGCAGGTATAATGATAATATCGTTTCAGGCCTCGGCACAGGATTATATTGAAATGTCTCAAAACCTCTTACGTGCCATGCGCGATGGTAAAAATGCGGACACTTATGTACAGCAAATAGCGGAAATAAACCCAGCCAAATTCAATTCACAAATTGATACCGATGAGAAGAAACTGGCCTTCTGGATGAACACTTACAATGGGCTTATTCAATATGTGCTTACTAAAAGCCCCAAGCTTTATGAGGATAGAGGAGATTTTTTTAGTGACGACCTGGTTACTGTGGCTGGCCAAAAAGTAAGTTTTGATAACCTGGAACACGGTGTGATGCGCAGGGGAACTTCAAAACTTTCGAAAGGGTATTTTAAAAATCCCTTCAGAGACGATTGGTATAAGCAGTATCAGGTGGATAAAATTGATTGGCGTATACACTTTGCACTCAACTGTGGTGCAGCAGATTGTCCGCCCATTCGCATTTATGATGATGAAACTTTGTATGATCAATTAAACGCCAGTGCCCGCCAATACCTTAAGAGCCAGGTTAAAATTGATAAGGAAGAACAAGAGATTTATGTTCCCGCCCTAATGAATTGGTTTAGCGGTGATTTTGGTGGTAGTGATGGTGTACGAAATATCCTGGAGAAAAACGGATATCTTGAGCCTGGTTCAGACTATGATATTGAATATAAAAATTACGATTGGACCCTTAAACTGGGAACCTTTTATAAAGATTAGATAAACCCTAAAGTTTAACTAAAAGAGACCCTGCCTGTTGCAGGGTTTCTTGTTTTTTGGCAAAGCAAAAACGCA